CAAAATAAAGATAATTATGACAATGTAATAACACCGATAATAAATATTATCATGTATACAATGGCTAGCTATTTTATAATATTATTTTTAGAACCACTATAAATAATCATATTTAATATAATAATACTAAAAATAAATGAATTTAGGTATATATAATAGAAAAATATTATTATAGAATATATCTATTTGTGTGTGCACATGTATCTATTAAAAAATGGTAGTGATTATATAAAATGCTATCCTCCGTATCGCATTAGTTGCAACATTACAATTTGTACATTATTCATGTACTCTACTTTGATTACATTTTATTTATTAATGTGTGAATTGTCTTTTTTGAAAAATAGTGTTTAATTATTTTTTACAAATAAAAAATTAAATATAATATTAGTCAAAGTAGTGCGTTGGTAAACGTGGAAAAGGAAATGTTGCAACTAAAAACTAACAGAAGAAGTAATACTTAATGTGCTTAGAAAATACTCTATAAAAGGCTAAGTTAAATTCATATATATTTTTAACTATGCCCAGTCATTTTACATCTTAACATCATATCTAATCCTGAACAACTAAGTTATATATGGAGTATCAAATATTTTACTTCAATCTGATAATGATAACGGCTGGCAAAAAACAACTACAAGATTTGTTGACATTAGTTCACAAACACTTCTATGGCCAAATACTCCCAATATCAATCATATAATTCTACCTTTGTAACTATACCACTTCTCTTATCCCCTCTAATTAATAAGTAGATTAATTAGTTATAATCAGTGTTTGTTTTCTTAAATTACTTTGATGTAGTACACCAAATCTATTGATCAAAATAAAAATTCCGAAGATCCTATATATGATATTTTTAAACCATTCGACAATAATTCGATAATGCATGCTTACTATATGAGCTTTTACACGTTCTTGAAAATTACTAATATTATCTTTCAAAAGTTACGATGCAAAATCCTATACCTATAATTCTATAAAAGTAAATAAAATATTCTGTTGCTAGAACTATTCAAAAAGTTAGAGGTAAATCTCAAAGTTGACTTGTATCTTGTCACTCGTATATTATAACTTTGACTTTACTTATAACCATGATTAATCATTATATCATGTATTCATGTTATATATGTAGCCTGATTGGTAAATCTCAATTATAAAAATAAATTTAAATTATATTAATTACTTACGGTGTAATTATTGTGATAAATAATGAAGCTAAAAATTTACAAAAATACTTTAAACATACCATTACAAAAATCTCTTCAGCTAGTTGTGCCAAACATATATACCTTAAGTCTCATTGTCACTTTTTTGTACTCTTTTCATACCTTAAATTAAGGTTTATCATTGATGAATTTATTGTTATAGGAAATCATTTGTAACATAAAAGTAATATGAAAAATTTATTTGTTAAAAATACTTCATAAAAGTATAAATCCTATAACATTCAAATAAAAAATTGATCGAAATTATTAAACAAAACTTATCATTGATTTAAAATGTCAAAAATAATAAAGTTTAAAATGACAGGTAGAATGTATTTTTGTCCAGAAAAGTCAGAATGCTTGAATTAATTTACAGGTTTTCTTTTAAGTACAAATTGTTTTCTTTTAATTATCATTTGAGTAGGAAGTTCAGCACTACTATTAGATTAGAGGATATAGATAGATGCGGGGTTAGCGAATTTGAACTATTGAATTGCTTTGTTTCTTGTTACTTTTATCATTAATAAATAAGACAAAAAACTTCTATACGCACTACTTTGTAATTCGTACATAGTAACAACAACAATTGAGCCTTATACAAAATTCAAATAACAAATACTCAGAATTGTTCTCACTTTCCTTTTTTGGACGTTCCATATAAAGGTTCTCATTTCCATTTTAGGAAACAATTACCAATCTTAAGTGACAATTCAATCATTAAATATTAAAAATAATACATTTATAACATCACAGTTATCAATTCTAATTAACTACATTATAATATATACCTATTAAAATTATTTCTCAAAATATACTTGAAGTAGTTTATTTAATTATTGCCTAAATAACTGTATCATTTTAGCTATGAGAACCTTCCAACGGAATGATGTAGTATCTTTCAAAATTACGATGCAAAAACCTATACCTATAATTCTATAAAAGTAAATAAAATATTCTGTTGCTAGACGTATTCAAAAAGTTAGAGGTAAATCTCAAAGTTGACTTGTATCTTGTCAGTCGTATATTATAAATTTGACTTTACGTATAAGCATGATTAATCATTATATCATGCGTCATAAATGAAGTAGGAGCAGTCCACGGTGAGCATGGTGTTCCCACAGGAAAAAAAAGCGTGTGACTGTTTACGCGCGTGAACAGTAACTTCATTTTTGTTTTTTCATTGTCCCAGTAGCGGAATAGGTATAACTCGCGTGTAACAAAATGTAACTCACACTAATAAGAAATGTAACAACAAGCAAGTTGAAATGTAACTTGTCTAATACGAATTATAAGAAATAAAACATTGATTTTATTGAAACCAATGAGTCTAGTTGCTCAATTACTTTATTTAAATAGTTTATATGTTTTGTTTTTAATATTAAGGACATAAAAAAAATTTATCTTTTTTTGCCAAATATCATTTTTTGGCCAAAAACTCATTTTGATTTTGTAAAAAAAATGATTTTTTTTATTTAATAGCAACGGTTAACATAAATGATGAATATATATATATATTTTTTTAATATTAAATCCATAAAATTATTTTTAAAATATATTTTTTGCCAAAACACATATTTTTTTGGAAACATTTATTTTTTTGCATAACAATGATTCTTTTGTTTCAATAGTAGGCTTTATGTTGTGATGTAATTCGTATTACAGAAAATGTAAATCGCGTTGATTGAAAATCTAACTTTAGTGTATGCAAAATGTATTTTGTTAAGGAAAACTCAAATGTAACTCGCGTATAAAAAGATGTAACTCACACACAAGAAGATGTAAATCGTGCATAAGAAGATGTAACTCCATAAAATATCAAATTTAATCATAGCAATTGTCTATAAATATAACTCACACATACGAAAAATGTATTATTCTCATGTTTTTTCAAATTTAAATCGAAATAAACAGCCTTAATGTCTATAAAACATATAAAAGAGATAAGAAATATATTATAGAAAAAAGTACATGAATATAAAAAATATTTTACAAAAAAGTGTATAATAAATATTAAAAAAGTATACAAAGTAATAAATAGTGTATGAATATGACATACAATATACTTATTTTATGTGAATAAATAAAATTTTGTATTAAATTGGTAAAGAAAAAAATTAATTCAGTTAGAATTTAATTAGTTCAAGATAAAGATAAGTAAAATATCACAAATAATTAGATGTAACTCACGCATAATTAGATGTATCTCGCGCATAAAAGTATGTAACTTGCGCATAAGAAGATGTAACTTACGCATAACAAGATGCAACTCACGCATAATAACATGTAACTCGAGTATAAGATGATGTAACTTTGTATATTATCAAATGTAACCCAAGCTAGAATCAAAATAAACAAACTCAATAAAAAATATTGTGTATGCATGTAAAAATATATTACAAAAAATATATGAATATAAAAAGATATTACAAAAAATAGTGTATGAATATGAAATGCAATGTACTTATCTTATTTAGATTATTAAACTTTTTGTTATGTATTGATAAAGAATAAAAAAATAGATTCAATTATAATTTAAATTGAAGATAAGAAAAATTAAAACTGCAATTAAATTTTTAACATTTTAATTTGATGGAAATGGAGAAGAATTGAAAAAAAGAAAAATAAAATAAGAATAGGAAAAAAGGGAAGGAAGAAGCTCCGGGAAAAAAAGAAAGCAACGTAACTTGCCAAAAGTGGGATCGGCACACCATGCGGAAGGTGGGCCGATCCCACGGTATAATTTGCGATTATATCATGTTATATCTTATATGTAGCCTGATTGGTAAATCTCAATTATAAAAATAAATCTAAATTATACTCCTTCCATTCCGGTAATTTCTTCCAACTTTCGTTTTTGAGCCGTCCTAATTAATTCTTCCAACTTCCACTTTTGGAATATGTGATTCACATTCATATCATTCACCTTTTTCTTACACAACTACAATCATACACTTTCACTTTATTCCAACTACCTAAATTTGCAATACCGGTCAAAACCGGAAGAAATGACCGGGACGGAGGGAGTATTTTTTACTTACAGTGTAATTATTGAGACAAATAATGAAGCTAAAAAGTTTACAAAAATACCTTAAAAGCTAAAAAGTTTACAAAAATACCTTAAAAGCCAAACATATACTTGTATATCCTAAGTCACTTTTTTGTACTCCTTCCATACCTTAAATTAAGGTTTATCATTGATGAATTTATTGTTATAGGAAATCATTTGTAACATAAAAGTAATGTGAAGAATTTATTTGTTAAAAATATTCATAAAAGTATAAATCCTATAACATTCAAATAAAAAATTGATCAAAATTATTAATCAAAATTTATTATTGATTTAAAATTTCAAAGATAATAAAGTTTAAAATGACAGGTAGAATATATTTTTGTCCAGAAAGGTCAGAATGCTTGAATAAATTTACATGTTTTCTTTTAAGTACAAATTGTTTTCTTTTAATTATCATTTGAGTAGGAAGTTCAACACTACTATTAGATTAGACGATATAGATGCAGGGTTAGCGAATTTGATTGGCTGATTCAATGTTTCATCCCAGTGTAGTCTTGAACTATTGAATTGCTTTATTTCTTGTTACTTTTATCATTAATAAATAAGACAAAAAAAACTTCTATACGCACTACTTTGTAATTCGTATACAGTAGCAACAACAACTGAGCCTTATACAAAATTCAAATAACAAACACTCAGAATTTATTAATGACTTTGATATACTTATCCAAAATTCAAATAACAAATACTCAGAATTTATTAATGAGCTTTAAACGCTCTTACAGAAGGAAGCTCATTATTATTTCATGAATTTGATGTAATTATTATTATATTTATCATAATAAACTGGAGCAACATACAATTGGACAATAGATGTAATTAGCTTGTAATTCCTCAATTGGCCTTGGATGCCACCCATGACCTACCCACCCCTTGATACAAAACAACGATATTCAAATACTAACTGCAACACTTTAATTATTTTGTAACGTAATTAACAACACACAAGGAGTAGGCCAGCACGCATTAGTCAATTGGTTTTCCTACAGTTAGTCCTAATCTCCCCATTTGAGCCAGTGAGAGGGCTGAGATTACTCATTTTAAGCATAGCATTTGCGAAATCCGAAGCAAAGGTAGAGGAGTCGGAGCCATAAGTGGTTACAAAAGCGTCTGCGCGACCTCCGTTTCCGGTAAAGAGCTCCTGATCAGAATGCAGGAGTCCGTTTTGCCCCTGCAAGTTCACATAGTAATTATTGTCGAACGATGTCGGAGTCGTCTCATCTAGCGGAGCCAGATTGTCGTCATCCCCGCTTTGACCACAGTTTGCTCGCAATGGTTGTGCAAATGTCGCGTTTATATTGGTGTCGTTGTAGATACGGCCTCGGAATGTCGTACACCTCGCTTGCCCAATCGTGTGCGATCCTGCATCATTTATTAATAGATAAACTACTTGAAATAGGACTGAAACAGAAATAGGACTAAAACATAGACAACGTGCAAATTAAAAATAAGAGTCACAATGTTAGAGCAAACAAATTAAACCTGAGAGAGCAACCATTTCTGTGGTGTTAAAGCCCTTCTTGGAGAAGGAGTTGATGAGTTGGGTGAGATTGAAATTTGGTCCGGGAATGTCGGTGTTAGCCGTTGCCAGACTTGCATTAGTTGAATCCCTTCTTCCTAGAAGAACATTCCAACTAGGGCCCCTAAGCTGTACATTTATGTCAACACACATCCATTTTAAAACTCATCATTCACCGATTCCACCGTATAAGCACTGGTAATAATTTGTGTTGCTTTTCTGAATTTACTTTGACGTAGACACGCAGTCACTGTGGCTATTGCTCAAAATAAAAATGAGGAAGAATCTAAAAGCATCTCGAATGCTACAATGTGCACGATGCACATGTGGCATGTGAGATAACCATATAAATATTGGTAAATAAATTATCTATCTCCTTATTTAAATGAATTTATACAACTTTGGTAAGTTTTTTCTCTGCAATGTCAATGAGCCCGTATAGATGTAGATATTGTAGTTGACATTCTTAAAAAAATTACCAAAATTGAGCTTTTATTCCTTTTTAAAAATTATTACCATTAAAATATTATATTATTTTCCAGTCAAAAGTTACAATGCAAAAGCCTATACCTATGAAAGTAAATACTCCCTAAAACATTCTGTTGCTAGATTTATTCAAAACTATAGAGGTAAATCTCAAAGTTGACTTGTATCGCAGCTTGTCTCTCGTATATTACTCTGTATAACTTTGACTTTAGGTATAACCATGATTAATCATTATATCATCTAGTTTAATTGGTCTAATAAATGTCTAATATGTGTATTTTACAATTATCGAAGTCTGATTTACTACAATACGGTCGGTTTAAGTGTAAACTGATCTGATTTTGTCTGATTAGGGATCCCATTGAAATTTGTCCAAGTAAAAACATTTTAGAAGTCTAAATCAGCTCAAATAAAAATATTAATCAAAACCATTAGTGAAAGTTTGTCATTGATTTGAAAACTAAAAAATGATAGTCTTAAGTAAAGCATATAATCTACTTTAATTTTGTCAAAAGAAGCAATTATTAAATTAAGTTAGCAGCCGCACGCTCTAGCTATCAATAAGAAAGAAGATCACACTGCAAATAATCAAAATAAATTTAGTACTAACACCTTTTATGTCAATTATTTATTCCATCTAAATGTCTGTTTAATTGAATATGTGGGGAGTGAGCGAGTAACCTCTTATCCCGCAGATATATTATGACCTTGTCAGTTGTCATATTACTGTTATGTCATTATATTGGGTTGTTATTATTATTATGAATTATAAATGCGCAAAGAATGTTTCTTTTACACATTTCATGGGTTAAGTTTCTTACCTTTCTCACTTTTGTTTGACATAATTTGTTTTATGTGTTTGTAATTTTAAAAGGGAAATTTACATTATTCATCCCGTAACTTTCGACTGATATCATTATTAGTCTCGTAACTTTTGTCACTTGCAAATTTGGTCCTCTAACTAATTAATATTTGCAATTTAAGGACTTTTCCCCTGAAAAGTACACTTTTCGGCAATAGCATACCGGAAAAAATGTTGCCGGCGTCGAACTTTTCCGCCGGAAAGTCTACTTTCCAGTGGAAAAGTCCTTAAATTACAAAGATTTATTAGCTACAGGACCAAATTTGCTAGTGCTTAAAGTTACATGACTAAAATTGCAAATCCCCCTTTTGACTACATTTTATTTATTAATGTATGTGAATTATTTTTTTTGAAAAATGTTGTTAAATTTATCTCATTACTAAGTTTTATAATCAAATTTTTATTTTATTTTTACTAATACAGAATTAAATATAATGACGATCAAAGTTGCGCGTTGACAAACATGAAATGTTGACTGTTACCACTAAAAAGAGACGTAGGAAGTATATATTATTACCGCAACCACAGAGTCTCGAGCAGCAACAGCCACAATGTCAGCACATGAGACAATCCCAGGACATGCTGAAGTATTCTCAAGAGCTGCTTTAATGGTGTCTATCACATCAAACCCTCTCACCGAGTTATTATTTGCGGGGGCAGTTTTCTCTCCGGTGAAGTTTGCCGTGTCATCCAATAAAATCGATGCGTCACACCCCTATTTCATATTCAAACCAGAACCATAGTATTATGCACTAATATTATTTACCCCTTGATAATAGCCCTAAGGACTGTGATTAGCGAAATTACCCCATAAAAATATCAAATAAAACAAAAAAAACGATGGGATGAAATCTTGATTTAAGGCATTAACTTGGATAGGATGGGTTATATATACACACACAGATTAGCTAGCGATAACTTTATGTTGATCAATGTTTTTGGAAAGCAAAGAGGGAAGAAAAGGCTTACATTGACGAAGCAATCATGGAAATGGAGACGAAGCAAGGATGCTCCCATCCGAGTCTCATTCTGCACGGTGGAGTTCACAATCCCTTGGATTATGGAAAGAGCACTCGGACAACTGGAACTGTAAAAATTTGCAGACAACTGGGCAGAGGTCATCACAAAAAGAAGGGAGAAGAAGAGTGCAAATAATGAGAGTCTAAACGCAGCACTATGAAGTGAAAGAGGGGCTCTAGTAATAGCCATCTTCAACTAGTAATTATGAAATCTCAGGATGAAAGAAATTAAAGAAAGAGGGTTTCAAGCTCCCAATTAGTTAAGCTTTAACTATTTGGTGGAGAGGAAAGGCTTGGATTGTGGCATTGATATGATCTTCATGTCGATCTAGCTAGTGTATTTATAGTTGATTTTCAGTCCTTTTGAGTCTTCTTGCCTACACTCCCTTAACATTCTTACATTGTTGTGCTATTTCATTTTTCTAATTCATACTTATAAGTCATAAATGACATATATTCCGGATGTTAGTAACTATGTATTTCATTTTATGTTTTTTTCCAAACTAGTGCTAAAAAATAAACTATCTACAAAAATACAATTGAGTTAAAACTATTTATCAAAATACTATTGGAGTTAACTGAGTTGGCGACTTTGCTTTGAGATACGCGGAAATGGGGCTGGGAAGAGTAACGTTCGTAGGAGAGAGATGAAGAAGTGGGATTAAATTTTAAAAATCTCATTTTTCTTTAAAGCGTTATATCTTTTATATATTTTAAAACAGTATACCAAATTTCATAACTTTTTTTATTCTTTCATATGTCATCAATATTGCATATATAAAATTTAAAAATAATTGAGCACCATAGGAGTCAAAGGACCTGTTGACTAGGGTTTTATACAAATCAAATAATTTATACTCAATTCGAGATTCGAATCCGTATAATCATATTCGAATTCGAAAAATACAAATACAAATAAGAATAATAAATTTGATTCGAATCGCTGTCAAATACATTCGATTAATAATTGTTATAATAGCATAATAATAGTTATAGTAGCATAATAATATTAATAATAACTATAATAGACTTTTCCCAAAAGAATAGTTATAGAAGCATAATAATATTAATAATAATAATTGTAAAAACATTTTAATAATTTTTTAAAGTTAGCTATAAAATCATAGAGGTTTTACTTTGATATAATTATCATGTTACTTTACACATGATAGGCATAGTTTCTCATATGTGTGTTTAAGTGTTTATTTAAAAATAAACTTTCAAATAGGTTTATGTATATTAATTATAAAATTGATTCACTTTAGCATATTGTGCACAACCTCAAAACACAGAGATTCATTAAATTTTAGAGAAAAATTTAATGTTACAAATTAAGTTTTATAAACACATATTAAATCACAACATGCATTTATAATCTAAAAAATATATATAGAAAAGCTGTTTTAAAGTGATATTCGACATTGTTATATACGTAGTATATGATTTGTTAATTATTCATATTGTTAAACAAATACGAATACAAATCGAACTTAATATTTGTTTCTTATATATTTGACTTGGATTTGGATTCTTATTCAAAAAAATTAAAGAAATATGAATAATAATACAATAGATAAAAAATCTCTTTTTCATTAAAGTGATATATCTTTTATATATTTATCTAATTGTTTTAAAAAATTTATCGAACTTCACATTTTTTATGATCTTTCATATGACACCAAAATCTGATCGGTAGATTTAGGTTCAAATTTTTTCATAAATAAATTCAATTGCAAAGGTTAAGATCTCATGAAATAAACACTCACACACACATTAGAAATTACACCTATAATGTGTAAAGTAAGTTGATAAGTATATCAAAGTAAAAAAAAAACTATGATTTTATAGCTAGCTTATAAAATTTATTAAATTGTTGTTACCATTATTATTATTGTTAATATTATGCTGCTATCACTATTCTTTTGAAAAATGCTATTACAATTATTATTAATATCACTATGCTACTATAACTATTATTACGCTATTATAACTATTATTAATCGAATGTATTTGATAATGATTCGAATCGAATTTAGTATTCTTATTTATATTTGTATTTTTTGATCGAATTCGAATATGATTGTACGAATTCAAATCTCGAATTGAGTATAAATTATTTGATTCATATACAACCTTAGTCAACTGGCCCTTTGACTCCATATGGTTCTCAATTTTTTGAATTATATATATATATATGAAATATTGGTTTCATATGAAAGATCACAATAAGTTATGAAATTTGATATATTTTTAAAAAAAATTGGAACAAATATGTAAAAGCTAAAACACTTTAAGAAAAATGAGATTTTTTTAATTTAATCCAACTTCACCCTCTCTAACTCCCGGGAATGTTACTCTTCCCCACCCCCTCTCCTGGTATCTCCAAGCAAAGTCGCTAACTCAATTGGCGATTTTCTTGATTAGAGTAATTCCAACAGTATTTTGGTAAATACTTTTAATCCAATCATATTTTCGTAAACACTACAAGAAATCAGATGTATTACCCACACATAAAATAACTACACATATTATGTGTGGGTATTTAACCACACATAATTTCACTATGTGTGGGCAATTAGTGAACGTATAAAAAACTAATTAGACACATATATTATGTGTGGGTAAAAAAAAATTCTCACATTTAAATTTAGCGGGAATCTTTCCCGTCTTTTTTTCATTCTAGCGGCACTTTTTTATATGACGTGGTAAGTAGGTGGGATTTTTCAGTTTTTGAATTACCCACACAATTAAAAATGTGTAGGTAATATTGTTTTAATTAGCAACACATAAGTAATATGTATTTTAAAAGTGTGGATAAAACCTGAAAAGTGAATTATCTTTTTTCTAAAAATAAAGGATAACCAACCTAAAATACACGTCACCCGCCCATTAGGGCTTCACAGTATACGCCGCCTCACAGTATACGTCTTCTGTAATTCCAATGCCGTCTAAAACCTAACATATCACTCTGCCGATTTCTTCTGTAATTCTAAGGAAACTTCTCTAATTGGCCCGAAGGAAGACGAATCGGACAGATCGGAGAATAAGGTTTTGAGATCTTCTCTTATAGGCGACGAAGCAGAGGTAATTTTTTTTCCTGCGACTTTACTCGTTGTTTATTTGATTTCTTAGTTCAGTTCATATTACTGATCTCCTGAAGTAGAAGTAATTAAATAGCTGTGCTTCCTCTTGAGACTCTGGAGAGCAATATTTGCCAAGGAATTTTAGGAATCATCAGGTGCTACCATGGTTCTAAAAATCCGAAAAATCGGCCGCCTAGGCGCCGGATACTCGCTAGGCGGACAGGTCCCGTACTGACTTTCAGGTAATCGCCTCTGTAATCGCTCCGCCGATTACTCGGCCGCCCAGACCGAGAACTCGCCTGAAAATCGTCCGCCTAGGCACCATGTTAGTCGGTTCAAACCATTTAAAAACAAAATGCATTTTTTTGACTTTTTTTACTCCAAATGACGAGGACGTCGTATTTTCTTCTCTTGGCGATCAATCCACAAAATTGGGGTGCCTCTCTTTGACCTAATAGGACGTTTCTTCTTTGCGATGGAATGGCCGCCGTAGTCAACCAGCGTTGAGCCTTCTATTCTTCCCTTTCTGTATTTCCTTCTTCTCTGAGTAAAGGTGTCCAGGGGTCCAGCGCACAGTCCAGTGTCCAGACTTCAGATAAAGGTATTTTCAGTTCGTTGGTTTGAATTAATTTATGGTTAGAACATTTCCTTACTTGTTTTTAGTTTTTAGTTTTTCGTTTTTACTATTTTTTGGTTAGAAGAACATATACAAACCCACATATATTTCAACTTTGTTGGTTGGTTTTTTGGGAGTGGACTAGTTGAGTACTATATATGGATTCTTGATGTGGAAACGTGGCTTGCATAGCCTCACCTGGAGGATATATTGGAGTTTGTTGTTTCTTGCACTAGGAATGCAAACCACAGCATGATATGTCTTGTAAGGGATGCCATTTTGATTTCAGTTTATTTTCACAGAATTGCATATAGTTTTATTGTAGAAATTGAAGTCAAATCTTGTCTACTCCTGGTACTTTCTGTTTTGAATGGTTGCAACCCAAAAATATGAAAGCTTGGATGATTAGTTAATGTAAAAACTAGACCTGACATGTTTGTTTTTTCTGGGTTTACTTGAAAGTTGAAACAGAGGAATCAATGTATGATGAATTGGAGATGCACATTTTATTTGAGAACTTGAGTATCAGCAAATGGTAAGAATCTTTGTGTTAGTTAATAAGCAAATGGTATGAATCTTTGGGTTTACTGTAACCCTTACATTGACTAAATAATAATGTAAGGTTTATGGTTGTTCTGATTGTAGTTGTTTGAAAACTAATTCTTCTGGTTGTAGTTGTTTGAAACAGCAGAATTTGCTTTAATAAGTAGAAACAAGCACCTCACAATGTAGTCATGTTATCCTAAAAAGTTTGCATTACTGCGAAAAATAGCCCCAAAGTTTTCATATGCATTGTTTTTGTAAGGAATTGCTCGATTGAGCTTAATATGCTCTAATATAATATTAAGACTTTATGTTCTTTCAATCTATCCTAAGTTCATCATCAATAGGGGTAGCCCAAAACACTTGGAACTTCGTGTAAAGGTGCTTGGCAGTTCCCAGGTTTTAGTTTTCTGATAGTAAGAGTTACATGATATCCATAGTATAATAAACTAGAACCACTCATAATTATACTAATCATTTTAACAACCACGTTATTTGAACAACACCAAAGGAAATTGAAAATCATTTTTTCTAATAACCAAAATCTGGCTTTTAGTTAAAAAAAGAAATAGTAAATCATAAAACTCACCTATGACTTTTAATTATTATTGTAAACCTAGTTATCCTAACTTATTAATTATTAAACTAAGTAGTATGCAACATTTTTATTATGTTTAAACTTTAAACTTAATTTGTGTAATGTAGTATTTTTTGACCGCCCGACTAGCGCCTAGCGAATTTTAGAACATTGGGTGCTACACTCGTCTACCCTTTTAATGTTGGAGTTCTTGCCCATCCCAGCCAGTTGAAACGCTTCTGTTTGAAGGCAGAAGCTTTAACGCTTCCCTTTGAAGGCAGAAGCTTTTTTTTTTCAGCGTCCGTCTCATAGTAGTCTGCTCCCATCAGTATCTTCTATAATTGCACCTTCTGAAATATATGGTCTAAGTCCAACCACATAGCCTTTTTTATGGTTCGGAAGTTTCAGGGTTCGCCTCTTCCTGCTGCTGCACTTAAAAGAGGCTTCTCATCCCATTCCTCATCCCATTTATCTTCTTCTT